GAGCATCCATTTTTCTGAGGTGGTCTATTTTATTTCTTCAACCAGTGAAAGGCCTATACCTGGTAAGAGTCCTCAACCCAACAAACCATGAAGGTTTAGAGTTAAGTACAGAAGTGCCACAACTTTTTCCAGTGCTGTCATGGTGCAGCCATTCCCCACTCTTTACATCGTTAAGATGGGGCTCTAGGCTCTGCCTGCTGTACTTCTGCCTGAGTCTCTTGGGGTCTCTGGGGTTTCTCTGTCACTGGGCAAGTGGGGGAGGCATTCTTGTCTTCATCCCAGCTGAGCTTATTCTGTTCTTCTTTGTCTTGTTTTGGGAATGAAGTGACAGTGTAATTGACATTGATAATAACTTCAATCTGCTCATTCAAAAATTATATCCTGTACCTTTACCAGGGCCAGATATCCCCTTGGTTCTCAATGACTTGAATTAGATTCCAGTCCTAGTCTTGGGCTTAGGGCCTTTTCCCCAGGGCACACCTTGACACTAGACACCATGGGAGAAATGGTGAAAGGCTCCAGGACTATGGAATTAAGCCTTTTGGCGAAAGAAAGGAAATGTTAACTGCCTCTGACTCCTAGAGATGGAGTGATGGTGCTCTGAGAAGTGATGGTCCAAGGAGACTGTTAAGAGGGACACTCAGGGTCCTGGCATTTAAATCCTTCCAGGCCAGTCTCTGGGAACGCAGTTTCCCAGTAAAAGCTGATTTTTTGAAAAAGCTGGGAAGAGGATCTAAAGAGCTTGTGTCACTTAAATGCTGAAAAAGCAATGACTTCTGACTCTGGGAGGCAGAACAAGGTCTCTTACATAGAGAAGGATAAATAGCCCTGGGAAGAGCCACTGCAGGGAAGACAGGCAGCTTCCAAGGAGCAGAAAAGAGTGCGAGACCCCCAGGACCCACAGGAAGGGGACATGAGTACTTTGGAATTCCATATTGGAATCCTATTCCACTGTGCTTCCAAATTTGATTGGCAGGAAAATAAGGATCACACGGATAGAATTATTTGATTTAATATCTGAGGATACACTTTGAGAAGTACAGGTGCTTCATTTATATATGTATATGTGTGTGCGTATGTATACAAATGTATATAGATATATGGCATATATATACACAATATACATATATATTACAGATATACATACATGCATCTATAAAACAGCATTATTAATATTTATTTTGTAAAATTCCAAAGAGAAAAGATTCTCAGTCCAAAACTGACTTTCAGGAATCTTCCTAGATTAATCTCCTTCAATTTCCTGCATGTAATAGCTAATGATTAGTTTGTTGTTTACTCTGTCATTTAAGCCAACAGCTAATGGCAGTTGATAAAATTTATTACCCTTACTCTAGGCCCCTCAGCTATACCATGGAGTCTCGTGTGTGATGGAAAGCGTTATATGCAGTTAGGCTGCTGTGCAGCTTGGTTTCATTCTTTGAAGATGGTGCCCCACTTTCCCTTTAGTTTATACTATATTTTGTATGCACTTGTTTCTCCTCATTGCAATGATTTCATTCATTCCATATCTACTTATTGAGCACCTACTAAGGACCAGATACTCTGTTTAGTACTGAGGTTGTCATGGAGACTGAGGGACCCAGTTACTCCCCTATCCATGTGATAAGGCCAGTTCTGTCCTAGCACCATCCCTAGAAGCTAACCCACCTGTTTTCTCCTGACTTTATTCCATAGTTCATTGGCTCAACAAAGACCATGCTTGGCTTTGCCAACACTGCTTGTGCCTATGCAGGTCATGGGTTATTGATGCATGCATGGCTTTTGTTATATATTCTCTGAACTTTGTGATAGTTTAAACTATGTTTATAAATTGAGAAAAGAATGTTTTGTAAACTTTCACACATGTTGGTTATCTTTAAAGTCAACTGGATTGTAAAGTGCCCCGAGCACAGTTACTGTAAAGGATTTATTTCAATTCCCCCAGTACCTAGCATAGGGCTTTGGATATTTAATAGTTAATTGAATGGATAAGCAAATGAATGAACCTTATAAATAATGTCTGTGAGCCTGTCATTCAAAGTGTCATTTGAACACAATAAGGTTTTTCCTTGAGAGGCTGTGGAAACTTGCGTCAGTAGCATTCTGACTCAATTGGGGGCTCAAATTAAGGAGAGAAAAATGTGTTGGAGTTAAGTACCTTAATTCTTTCCTGTACTTCAGCTGTCAAATTCTGTGAGATCAAGACATGATGAGGGTAGTCTGCAACGACAGATACAATAAGTGTTGTCATTCTACTGTATCCTACTTTGATATCGTAGTGTTCTGTTGATGACACTTCAAGGAGTCTCCTGCTCCAAGATCCCAAAGTTTCCCTTAATTCTTGGAAAAGATCTATAATCTAGTTTCTGCTACTGCACACCTGTGGCATCACCGTTCCACGCCTGCATTTTTTTCATGTAGATTCAGAGAGTTTCCTAGAAACAGAGAATTAAAGTGGAAGCTGAGACCTCACTTGAATGTGGTGGCTCCAGAAATATAGATAGAAGTATAATTATTGATACCCCTGTGTAATCATTAGGGTTCTCCAGAGAAACAGAATCAAAAGGATGTATATATATAAAAAGAGATTTATCACAAGGAATTGGCTCATGTGATTGAAGACTGGCAAATCCAAATCAGCAGTGTGGGTTAGAAGCCTAGAGACCCAGGAAAGTCAATGGTGCAGATGAAGTCTGAAGGCAGTCTGCTGGAAAATTCCCTTTTGCATGGGGAAGGTCAGTCGTTTTGTTCTATTCAGGCCTTCAGCTAATTGGATGAGGCCCACCCACAGTATGGAGGGCAATCTGCTCACTCAAAGTTCACCAATTCACATTTAATCCCATCCAAAAACACCCTCCAAGTTGACACATACAACTAACCATCACACACTACATGGTCCCAAACAAGAAAAGAGCCCCAGAGAGAAGTAAGTGCCAGCTAGAGGCTCTGGTGCCTGGTTGGCTTTGGTAAGTATCCAGGGCAGAGTGGGAGAATGAGGCGTAGAGGTAGAACAAATGTGTTCAAGTGTGCACATGCTCAATACTGCTGTGAGGTGCTTAGTGTAGGTGGACACCCTTGGCTCCAACCTTGGGGCAGACCTGGAAACTGGTTATTGAGGCCAAGCCCAAACACCACAGCTTGTTTCTGAGTAAAAGAAGGATCCTGCTTTCGGCTGCTGCTCTCTTCTTGGATTCCCAAGGAGTTGATGAGGCAGAAATCTCGGTTTAAGACTGCCTGGGTGAATTCTTGGTGACGGTCACCTCAGGTCACCTTTGCAGTAGCCCAGAGGAAATATTCAATTTAAGCAAATGTATCAGACATGGGTTTCCCTTTATCAATCCATGCTGACTGACCTTTAATGAATTAGAGAGAAATCCATTCCACATTGCCTGGATAAAGATGTAAGGCTGATGCATAAATCTTGACTTTAAGAAGACATAAATTCAAACCAGAGTTAGAAACTCATGCCTTTTGAGGCCATAGCAAGGATATTAATGACTCACAGTTACATAATTATTTGAGCCTATTTATATATCAAGAACCCTAAATTCTATTTTTCTTCCCCTCATGGCATCAACTCAGACTCTCTAAATTTGGAATATTAGTCAAACCCACTACCTCCCATCGCTGTCCTGTTAGAGTCCTTTGCTGCATTTCTTCATTGGACAGAAGCCTTTGGCTTCCTTTGTTCTTTTGTTTATTTGTGTTCGTTTAGTGGAAGAATAACTCATTCATCCCTCACTGAGCCAGTCTGATTGAAAAAAGAAATTCAGAACTTGTTTTCAGTCTGTTCCTTTTAAAACTGTCCCCTTCATCCCAATTTTGCTCTCAAGAGATATGACCACTGTGGAAATTAAATTATAATTAGGGTCAAGGACTTTGAAATAATGACCCCCAGACCGACCCCTCTGTCTGTACTCTTAAGTGTCTCCTGGCAGCACAGTCAGTGTTGGGTTCTGGGCCATTTTAAACCTGCTTCCAGAACTGCCACCTGACACTTAACCGTCACACAGTGCTTTGCCTTAGTAAATGCATCTGTTATATGGTACAGCACTAAATGCTTCCCTGAAATCCAGATAAATTATGTCTGCTGATTTGGTAATGTGGCCCAAGAATTCAATTTAGGTGAGTTTATCAGACATGGCCTTTCCTTTATCAATCCATGCTGACCGACCTTTAATAAATTAGAGATAAATCCATTCCGTATTGGTGGATGTACAATCTGAGTGGAAGAGGAATCAGCACCGGATCTACAAACATGCCCCTGCCTAATTTCCTGCCCTTAATGTGCTCCAGTCTGTGACAGGGCGCAAAGAGGTTCATTTGAATTGCTTCAGACTCCTGAAGGGCCAAGCGGGATGTGAAGTTGGAGAAAATGTGAGGATCTTTATGCCCAAGAGGTTCAGGAAAGGGGAGCATGGCTTAGTCGTCTGGGTGGGCTTTGTAAGGGTTGGCTTCTAGAAAAAGTGGCTATGTGGTTTAAAGGTAATTCTTCCTCATCTCTGAGCCTCAGTTTCCTTGGCTGTAAACGGAGGTTGCTGGGAGAGGCAATCTCTAAGACCGGTTTCACCTCTATTAACTTTCAGCTATAGGGAAACAAAGCAGGAAACAATTACTTGTGCTCCAGGGTCAAAGCAAACTGGCATTAAGACTGGCTTGATGCCCAACTGGGATCCTGAATTCAGTCAAATTAACTGGGCCACGATGAAATTGATCCAGTTTTGAAGATGAGAGGGATTCAGAAGCAAGCAACATTAGAGTTCTCTTTTATCCAAGAAGTCTTATTAGAAGAAATAAAATTTGAAAGAGGTGCCAAAGGTGTTCTCTGTAGTCCTTGTCCTTGTAATGATCCATTTTAATTTCAATGTACTTAAGATATTGACACCTGCCGAGTCAGAGAAAAACTAAAGCCAACCTGTACTCAAATTTCGCAAGATGATCAACAAGAAAATGGTCCCATGGTGAAATAACTTCTCAATGGTACAATAGTAAATCCCAATCCCACACACAAATTCTGAGATTCGCAATCCCTTTCAGAGCCCACAAAGGATCTAAAGAGTTGTGCAATAAAGGAATTTGTTTAGCTTTGTGCAACCCAGCATTTTACAAACTTATTTGATATTCAGACCCATTTTGCTCGCTTCTTCTTTTTTTTTTTTTTAATGCCATGCCTATTACAATCACTCAGAAGTAATATTCCACAGAGCACACTTTGGAAAATGCTTGTCTAAACTTTCCAGGGCTCCTCCTTTCTGCTTGCGTGCCATGGTCTTTGAGACAGTTTTCGTTCTTTCTTCCTTTGGAGGAGTGTCCGTCTCTGAAGTGATCTTCAAGTCGTTCTCATCCCCAAGTCCTAAGAAAAGATGTTTTCCAATCTGGCTCCACATTTCTATCTTGGTGAGATCTATAGAAACTTACCAAATGTGAAAATCCTTGCTTAAGCTACTTTTCAGTTGCCCCTGTAAGATTTTAATATTTAAAGATATCAATTTAGCACATAAACAAACAGGTAAATATTTATTTACTTAAAAACCAAGGGCGCTTTTATAAAAACTTTCTCCTAGCCTCTACTTCTTTGGGGAAGAAGAGGGTGGCAGGAAACTCCGTGTGTGGATTGAGGGCCTATAGAGGAATCCTGGGCGCGTTGTGCTTTGAACAGAGCCGTGAATTGGGAAGGTGAGAGTGACTATTGTAAGTTGGCCGTGGCATCCACAATAATTGCTAACAGACCACATCTCTCCTCACTTCTTTTCACCCCCTACCTTGATTCCTAGCATGCTTACAGCATACTTTATTTCTGAGTTATTAAAAATTACATCTTTCTTATATTGATTCTTGACAGTTGCCAGCTGGCTGCTAATTGTTTCCAGTTCTGGCACTTCAAATTTACTGATTTCTCTTTTGATATTTTAATCATTCTGCTATCCCCCTTCTCTTTCCCCTCCCTGCTGTTTTGTCTTGTCTTCAGAATTTCTCAAAGCAGCCGTGAGGACTCCAGCTCCATTTTTCTTATGAAATATTTCTTTACATTCTCAAGAAATAGATGAACATTGCAATGTCTACACTTCTCTGATATGCTTTGAACAACTTCTGTTTACACCAGAGTAACAGGTCCGTGAACTCCCTCAGGATGTAATTTGTGTGGCTCCCAAACATTTGTGGGTATGGCTCCTCCTCTTTTGTTGTCAGGTGATGCTTGGGCAATATCAAGAACTGGGCATTGAACCCCAAACAGGTCACAGGACAAGATGATAAACTATAGAAATGCACAAATGCAATGAATTCATTCTGAGCAACTTGGGAAAGACAGAATTGGGATAGATATGCAACCAAATTAATCCGGCTCAGGCAAACTGTGATATTTGAGATGACAGTGAGTTCCATGAGGTGAGAGGATTTGTCTACTTGTTTAATGTCACAGCCTCAGTGCCTGACACAGCTGAGGCTAATAATAGGTACTAAATAAATACCTGGTGAGTTCAGTATGGGTTTTCTTCTTCCTCTTCATGATCTGACCAACAATCAGAGTTTGGGACAAATTAGTGGGTAAAATCTAACAAGAAACCTCCCCACCTCTCCCAAGTGACTTTCCCACTCAGCACCATTTAGAAGTTTTTCTTTCTGTCCTGAGAAAATACTCTAGAAATGATATCATAAAACCTCCCTTTAAGAATGTATATTATGAATATACAGCTCCATAGAATGTTTGAACCTTAGAGTCCATCGGGTACAATACTTTAATTTTGCAGTGGCCCCTCAGAAGTGAAATGGTTTCTCTAAGGGAGTCCTGGGCTGCACGGAGTACTGGGTGAGCACTTGATCCATGGAAGAAACATTAACTGCGAGCCTACCTTGTGCAAGGCCCAGTTCTGGTCACAGGCAAATAGGGAAAATGTGACACATTCTATGGCCTGCATTGTCTTATGATCACTTGTTCAACCTACTAGGTTAACCAAATTTAACGTTTTGGGGGATTTTTGGTAGTTACCGAAGTTAATATATTCTCTTCTGAAATATCAAGGGAAGGGTGAAAAGAAAGTGCAGGGAGCAGTTTGTTTGCCTCAGTGAGAAGAACTCTTCCACCTGACCACACTTTTCTTGCAGTCACAGGCTATTTCTTATATAACTCGCTGTTCCGAGCACCTATCACAGGCCTTTGCACATAGAAGTGACTCAAGAAACATTATAGGATACAATGAATGTGAATTGGAAATATGGTGGATTTGTTCATTTGAGCCAGAGTTGTGCATGTGGTTGAATCACGGCATTATCTTGGGCAAGTCTGCCTTGTGGGTCTATAAGACCAGCCTCCTTGCAATTTACATGGGCAAAGGGGTCTGCAAGGAGGTGCCTTCATCCCTGCAAGAGGGGTAGGGATACAGAGTATATGGAAAACAGCATATTGGAAGTTTTCCAGATCAGTCCTATGCAGAGAGAGGCTAAAGACTGAAGCTGAAGGAACTGCTTCCATAAGGGACTGAGTGCCTTGGTTTGGTTTCCCAGAAACTGATCCTGAGATTCAGGTGCAAGCAGTTTATTTGAAGGGTAAAATTAACACCAGCTGAAGAGTAGGGAAGTGTTACAGGGAAGGAAAGGCAGCCAATAAATGGTAGGATATTAAACTGACTATTGCAGTGGATGCCTTGGACTTAGTCCTGCAGAGAAACTCGGGACAACAGTGTAAAACTCAAGCCACAAGATTACCCCACATGGAGGGGAAGGAGGGATAAACCAAGCCTTGAGAGTCATTGATAGAAGACTACCAGTTGTTGTTAATTCCCTGATGCCTCTGGTCTATGGCACACAAGGGCAGAGTAGCCTTTTCCAGTTCTGAAAGAAAATCACTTAGTCACAGAGATGCAGACTAGAAGTTGGTTGGAGCAGAGTGAAAGATTTGAGGGACACAGCAGGGGACACAGACAGCAGCTGCTGCACTTATTTTGGTATAAGGATGATAAGCAGCTCTTCAGAATATACCCAAGAGAGTGACAGGGTGTGGCAGGGGAAAATCTAGCTCTGTTTCTCTGGCCTCATAGTGGAAACTATAGGGAATGCACTGCTTCTACAGGGAATGGAAGCCTGGGGTTTAGAGTTTGAGAGTTCTGGGAAGTTGTCATGGGGTGCTGGTAATACTGGTACTGATGAGGCTCCCTTGCTTGGATGATTCACAGGCATTGGCACCAGTATCAGCATCAGCAAGGAGGCACCAGGGCAGAATATAAAACAAGTCTTTTGTGACATCATGTCAGACACTCCTAGGGAGTCCAAGATTGGATTGGAGAAGTTTTTGAAGTGGATCTTACATTATACTAATGGGAGCATAACCAGTGAAGTTAGAGAGGTTATTATTTAAGTGATTTCATGAGTACACATAGACTAGTAAGGCCCAGGAAAACTCCACATATGAGAGTAAATGGAGTAGAAGGTGAGGAAATGAACATAATACCCTGCGCTCCATATTCTCCATGTCTCCTCTTTTCACTGTTATCCAAGACCAGGAGGCAGGACCAGGACTTGGAGAAGTTTGTAGTAGATTGGCTTATTGGTCTTCAACTCTTCACTCATCCCTATGTTAAAATTATACATCCATGCCCACATGACTTTCCCTCCTCCCACTAAAGGAAGAGTATATTTCCTTGCCCCTTAAGTTTGAGTTTGGCCATATGACTTGCCTTGGCCCATGGGATATGAAAGGAAGTGATGTGAGCAGAAGCTTAAAACATGTACTTCATTTGCCCTCTTGAGCTTCTTCCATTTGCCGTGAGGACAAACCCCAGGTAGCTGCTGTTCCCACTATGAAAAATGACATGTGAGGCACACCTGAACCCAACTCAGAACACAGGGCCAATCGAGCAAACTCACACTCCAGAGCACAGCCACTCAGTCAGCTGAGCTCGGATTAAATCAGTCAAAACATAGTCCACCTACCAACCCATGAGGTCCTGAGATTTTTTGAGGTTGTTTGTTACACAGCATAAACTGACTACTGCAGGTGCAACACACATCAACACATTCTGAAAATGCATGGAAAAAGGAGAATCCTGGATGACATGGCTGTTAAGGGTAAGCAAACTTCACCACCCAAAATTTTTGACCACATGATTAGCAGAGGATTTGTGAGGAAGCAAAAGTTAAAAGAAGCTCAAATGAACCTGCAATATGGGTAGAGGTGGGCCAGAAATTTGAAAGGAAGGCAATGGGGCTTTGCAACACTTAAAGCAATCAAAATAAACAGTTGTGAAACCAGGAAAAGGTAATCCCCAGCACAGGGGTCTGCTGCCGGGCCGCCTCAGCTGTGGTACATTTAATCTATCGCATTAACACAGCTTTTAGAGTTACAGTCCCTCAAAAGGATTTGGACTCCATTCCTGTTGCAGTTGCCAGGGCCTAAAACTGTCAATTAGAAAACCATTTACCCAAGTAAACGCCTCCACTGGCTGTCAGGTGCAAGTTATTACTCCAATCTTCGTTTTGGCCTTTCCTTTACATGCGCATCCAAACTCTCCAAATCTGCTCCCGCATCCAAATCACATTCCCAGAGCATGTTACAGAAAAGAATGCACTTTGAAACAGTTTGCAACTATGCAAATGTTAGTCCTCACAGCTTTGTCTCAGAGAAGGTGTGACGCAGAGGTTTGGTTTGGCATGGAGCTGGGCAAACCTTTTCCATGACTGCTTTTCTTGACTTTTTTTTTCACTCTCAGTTCTAGTTTCTTGTTGATTGAATAAAGTAGATTGAAATTACCCTCCTAGTCCCATAGTCACAGTACCTTCACACTTCTCATGGAAGAGCGATAAACACAAGTGTTCTTTTTAAACACAGCCCTTTCTAGTCTGGGATGCAGAGGACAATCATTGTTCCTTGCACCAGCTCGTTGAAATATGCCACCCCCAGGAGAAGGGAAGTTAACATTTTCCAGGTGCTTCTGCCTATGTTATCTCATCTAATCCCCACAGCTCTCCTGAGAGGAAAGCCCATTAGATCCACTTCACAAAGGAAAAACCTGAGGCTGGAGAGGCGATGTGACAGAGCTGGGATTCCAGCACTCCTACGTTATTTGAAGGCCAGTTCCCCTCCTCTGCACAGTGATGTTTGGAGAGAGAAGGATTCTATAGGAAAAGATCCTGAGGTCTGATCCCAGGAGTCCTGTAGAAAACTAAGGCCCTCTACCCGTATACCTGTGTTTGGGCCTGACAAAGTCAGCATCGTTGTTTTTCACTGTCTGAAGATGGTTGCTGGATCAAAATTGAGAGACATCGTAAGCTGTGTTGTACCTGCTAATCTCTTTGCTTTGCTCTTGCCTTCCTAATGTTAATTCCCCAGAAAAGCGACACAGCAGCCAGCAGGGTGTTTCTAACAAGTAAATCAGATGACCACACTCCCCTACTTAAAACCCTCCAAGACATTACCATCTCACTTAGGGTCAGGACTCGGCCTACCAGGTCCTACACCTCCCAGCCCCTGCTACACCCGACCTCATCTTGCACCCACAACCCGCTCATTTATTCATTAGGCACTGGTCGATCTCTAGGGACACTTCTGCTCCTAGAAATGTACCAGCTTTTTCTGGCTCAAGGCTTTTACAGTTGCTATTCCCTCTGTCCAGAACATTCTTACCCTAGACCTTTGTGCAGGTGGGCTTTTTCAGTCCATGCACTCTCTCCTCCACCACCCTGACTAATGTAGAGCTTCCTTCTTACTCCATCCTTGTCACTCTCGGACTCATGATAAACTTTGATTTCTTCCATAGCCTGTATCACTCTCTAAATTTATTATATCTATTCATTTACTTGTGTGCTTGTATATGATTCATCTCTTCTCACCAGAGAATAGGCTATTTGAGGACAAACATTCATCAAACCTGTTCATGGCTACATCCCCAGTGCATGGGACAGTGCTTGGGGCATGGAAGGTCTTCATAAAGATGTGTCGAGTGAAGAGAGATGTTTGAACATGCCTTGTACCTAGCTTACTCTATTAATGTTTATTTTAATTTTAATGCTTATCTCAGCTACCTTTTGAGCTGGAAACACAATAATAATACTTTTCAAACTATTAAAGAGAATGTGGATGAATGTGGGATCCTGGAGGATCTATGTAGCCTTGCTAGGGCTCAAACTCCACTGCCCTGTCCATGATCATACCCCTGTACCTAGCACAATGCCTGGCACATATGTTGTGAGGGAATGAGGAAGAACTTTGAGGGTGAATGGAGTTCTCAGTGGTCCCTATATGCTAGCCAGGACTGGAATTTTAGAAGAAGGAATAAAGGGATTATAAATAGAAATGAATGAGAGGAGTATCTTACTTTTATCTTTCTTCTCTCTCTGCTCTCCTTCTTCCATTTCATGATGAAGTTGTGGTAGGATGATGCTGGAGCAGGGAGATACTCTCAGCTTGGAAGTCCAGGCAAAGCCAGTGTGGAACCCAAGAATAGGCAAGCTAGAGCAGGTCTCTTTGTTCTGCCTCTGATCTAGGGCAAGCACCAAAGAAGCAAGAGGGGCCCTTGAGAATCTCACATGGCAGGAAACCAGAGAGAGATTTGGGAATGAAGTTCTCATGCAGTGTGAATTTGCCTAGAGTGTCTTTGAATAGTTTCAGAAGTGTGGTAGGTGAGTAGGAGATTATATGGGAATTTAGAGCTTGGAGATTTTGACCATAGCTCTTCATCTCTGCTCATTGGCAACAACGGTACTTGAAAGCCATTAGTGTGAACTTTCTGAAATGTTTTTTCTCCTGTAGAATGGAACTATCTGTTGGCTTAATAAACAGCACAGGAAAAGAAATAAAGCTGGAGCAATATAAATGGGAAACTGGGTGAGTTAGCTAGCTCTCAATTTTCGAGAAAAGTTGTTTCCAAGGAAAGAACATTAAGTAAGGTTTCAGGATCTATTGCTTTTATTTTAAAGAAAAGCAGATCAAAACTTCTAAGTAGATGTATTAAAAAATGTCAAGAATAGATGCTTTATTTCTCTCTCTCTTTTTTTTTACTGTTGAAAAAATTGTGTTTCTGTGAGCAGGGGAAGTCTAAATGGATTTTGACTGAAATGATGAAATGGGCAAAGCCCAGATGAATAAGGTAAGGGATTTGGGATAAGAGTGTTCTTATGAATACAGCAATCATTTCCTTGTTTCTGTGTATTAGGAGTTAGATCAAGTAGATCTAAATTAACAATATTTTTTCATCTAATATAATGGATATGACAGAGTTAATAATTGAAATAAATTGCCAACACATAAAGCAGAGTGGTTTTAACTTAGAAGGTGAAGAAGATAAAATATTCATATGAAAAACCAAAGATAACTGAGCAACATCAGTCATTAAACAAGATATAGTGTTAGCAAAATATGACAATTTCTTTCCAGTATATTAGAGTGGATTCTTCCAATAACATGATGGCTTTCTCTAATAGTCTCATGCTACAAGTGTTTATTCAAACTGAAACACACTATAATCCTTGACTCTTTTTCTGGTTTAGGTCACTAGACATTTTGGAGTGAATCTCTCAGCTGTCCACAATAAGCCAACTGAAGTAGCAGACTGAGAAGTGGAATGAAGGAAGGTGTTCTATTCCTGGGTATGCAGGTAAAAATTGTATAGCAGGCATCTTCTGCTAAAGCCAAGATAAACTGAAGGTGTATTTCCACCAGTGGATGATCTCTTCTCGAGCACAAATTTGTTGTGATGCATTATTTTGACTATTTATACTACAATGTAGTTGATTAGTTGAACGTGATCTTGGCAGCAATACCTAGAATTATGTCTTAGTCTTAAGTCCAGACCCATTAACTCTTCTCATTGTAGGCCAGATAAGGAATGGAATGCTTTGATTAATAAAATATTCTGTTTTTTTTAACTGACATTAATGCTATATATATTAGCACTATAGTTACATACAATTAAAAAAACCCCTGGCACTGGAATTAGGCTGAGTGTAACAACCTTTACTCTAGGAATAAGGAGCTATTTTAAGATATTGGGGGCTTTAGGAGTTCTAATTATATAGAGAAACCCTGTGGGAAAACGTTCTGTTTCTTTAGAAAGTTCTGATTACTTGGAACCTGCAAGGGGTTGAAAGATGTGGACCACCCCTCTGTAGAATACTTACTTGAAATGGAACTAATGCTGCGTTGATTTTACCTTTAGGCAACAAATCTATCTCCCTTGATATCAACAACTCTATGCATTTAGAATTTGTTCATATCTTTAGGATATTAAGGATGAAAAAAGGGGGCTTGAACAGAAGTGGAGTCCTTGAATAATGCTCTTTGGGAGATAGTATAGTATAGAGAAATATCTGTTTTGAAGTCAGGCAGCCCTGGTAAGACTCCCAGACCCACTGCTTACCCTCTATGTGACATGAGCAAGTTAGCAGCCTCTCTGTATCTCTGTTTCCCGAACTATAAAACTGTGGGCATAATATCTTGCAGAACTCTTGTTGGGATTAAAAATAATACCATATGAAAAGTGTCCTGTGTGGTCTTTGGCACTGTGGAAACTACATACATTTTAGTTCTTTGGGCTTTGTGGCGACTATTCGACTCTGCCATTGTAGTGTGAAAGCAGCCATAGAGAATGTACATAAATTAATGGACATGGCTGTGGTCCAATAAGACTTTATGGACACTAAAATGGAACTTCTCATAATGTTCACATGCAATGAAATATTATTTTTCTTTTGATTTCTTCAACCATTTAGAAGTATAAAAACTATCTTAGCTCACAGGCCATACAAAAATAGGTGGATGCCCACCAAAGAAAAGCTCAGGACTAGATGGCATCACAAATGAATTCTATCAATAATTTAAAGAAGAATTAACACCAATCTTTCTCAGACTCTTCCAAAAAATAGAATAGCCGAGAACACTTCCTAACTCATTCTATGAGGCCAGAGTTACCCTAACACCAAAGTTCAACAAAAACATCACAAGAGAAATCATCTAAAGATAAGATTACATGTAAAAAATAAATAAAAACAGGTGGAGGGCTAAATTTGGCCCATGGCTTATAATGTGCCTACCTACCCTCCAGATGCAATAGGAGATATAAAGGAAATGGAATACGTCATCCTTGTTCTCTAGGACTTTTTAGCTTTACAGGCATGTCCTAGTATTACTCATAAAAGTAGTTGAATAACCATAAAATAATGTACAAATAAATAGAAATTAAAATAATGCAAATGCAGCAGAGAAATGTTGAGGGTGCTGGGTGTGAAAAGATCAGTCATGAAGGTATGGTTGACTCTTGAAGATCAGAATAGATAGACTAATTTATTTGTTCCTTCAATCATTTATTTGTTTATGGGATTAGGCTTTGCATTTGCTCATTAAATTGGGACAGATTGAAAATGGCAGAGAGAAGACACATTTTACGGCTATACAAGAAACACGGAGGTAAGAAGAAAAGCTTATGTGAGGAGAATAGGGGTAAAGGAAGTGAGAGAGAGAGAGATGGAGAGAGAGAAAGAGCATGAGCAGTATGGGGATGATAGATAATAGCTAAGGCAGAGTAAATTAGCTAACGAAAGGTTTTGAAGTTCAGTGGAGAATAGTTAACCATGGATTGAAAATTAGAGGACAATTTAAGTGTGTCTTTTGACTTTGAATTGCATATATTCCTATCCAATCATGACTATCTTGTTTTTATTTCTTATATATTTATTATTTATACCTCTCTTACTACCAAAACAAACAAAAAACATTAAACTTGAGAGGGCTTCATGTGCTTTCTTTCTTTGGGGATTACTCTGAGCTGGTCTCTACCTCTGGTTATTTGTCTAACCAAGTGGCCCATTATCTCTCGCAAAAAGATTTAGATTAATTGTAATAATTATTTGGGGTGTGCTAAAATCAACATATTCTTTTGAATTTGGCTAGATGACTATTTTTTTCTAATTTATATATTGTCAACACAACAGGAACATCATGTTTACAATTCTAAATGTTCCTATAAATCACGAATAAGAACACCCAATCTGACCCTAGGATGCTCTACTTCTGCCTTCTTTCCAGCTAGAAAAATCTATCCTTTCAGTTGCTGTTTTGACCCTGATTTCTATCTAAATAAGGTACTTTACCTTTAGTCCAAGATCTGAGCTAATGATCGCTGAGATGTTACCAAAACCTTTTTGGAATTCCAAACATACAATGCCAGTCTTTCCATGGTTGCCATGGAAACTATATCCCAGAAAAATCCAGTCAATTATTTTAGTATGACTTATCCTCTATAAAACCAAATTGGCCATTTCTAATAAACTTAAGCTTTTAAAAATTGTTCCCTTACTAAATCGTTGGTAATGTATTCCTTAATATTCTTACCATGACCAATAGTACAATTAACATGAAACCAAGGCAGAATATCAAGATGGTTCTGTGTAGTGGGAAAACCACTGGACTTGAAACCAGTGCACCTCAGATTAAAATAGTCTATGCCATTTACTCTCTGACCTTATTGAAGTCATATTACTTTTCTGAGGCTCAGTTTCCTGAAATGTAATATGGGGGTAATAACATCCACCTCAACAGGGTCCTTGTCAAGATTTGACAAAATGACAAATAATCAGCCCATGGAGGCTCAAAAATACATATTCATTATTTGTAACTATGTCTCCCACTAATTTTCTGCTACTATGAGTGATTCACAATAAGGCAGGATACAGTTAGCATGGGTAAAGAAAATCAACAGATAACTTCTTAAAATTCAATTTAACATAACTTTTGAACTCTTTTTCCCACTAAACATTTATTAGAGCTAGTAAATTGCTACAATACAAAGAAAAATTTTGATTTTTCTTTCTTCTCTCTTAGCAAGTGTCCTCTTTGGACTTGGTTTTGACCAGCAGATGTGTATAGACATGGAGAAAAAGAATAGAGAGAGAATTCACAAACTAGATTCTCAGTCCCAGATATTTGCACATTAAATGGAGTTGACTTTCTATTTTCATTATTCACCAAAAACCCAGAAAAAATGCAAACAAGCATTTCGAGCAATTTATGGTAGTATAATTATAGTACACAGGTCTAGGAGTAGGAGGGAGCACCCTTTGGGGAAATCAGTTCAGTTCATTAGGTCATCTACCTTCCTCCCGGTAAATATTCATCTCTCAAAATCCCTACCAGATGTTGATATTGTATTGTAAGATTCTGGTTAACTTGGATGATCTTGAATTCTGAATGAGTAGAGTTCTGTATTACAAGGGTCATTTCTCTACAAATTATAGAATATCTCAACTACTTTGGTATAAAAATGAGAACGTTTTACATATTTTTTCCCCAATGACTGTCACCAATCAACATCTTGGTCTGATGAACTTTTCTCTTATTTCAGTTGATAAAGTAGCTTCTTCTGGCATTGCAACTTAGGTCCATCAATTGGCAGATATAACAGTACTGCCTGACTGCAGGTTAGATATTTGGCTACAACAGTTTTGAGTTGGTGAAGCAGAGGAATGACTGGTCTCTCAAATTTACCCCACTTCTTTAGGACGATTGACCTTCTGATATTAGATTGAGGAGTAGAGAGAAGAGAAGAACTAACTCCTTAAATCTCTGATTGGATGAGATTGTTGGAGCCACCAACTCAGTCCCCAGCAAGTCCCTTGGGCATCGGTAGTCACTAGGAGACTCACTGACCCTCATCTGGAGCTTCCATGACGTTCCAGAATAGATAAGACTCTGTATATTACCGTGGTCCCTAATAAAACTGCAGACCCCAATCCATTACGGTCCCAACTCCAGTGCCTGCAGGTAAATATTTAACAACTTGTTCTCCAGAAGAAATAAAGGCCATGATTTGTAGTGAATGCTGATCTCCATAGTGTAAATACTCCTACTATGAACCAGAAATAACAGAAAGTAGATTTGGGAAGAGATGCATACCCCAATAAGGTTGGAGAAAAGAGTACATTAATAATTTTATAATAACCACTTGTATTTAAGTGTACTTCTCATCTGGAAAGATTGTAAGTGATGTATCAAACACAATAGGTATAAACAAGGTTGTGTCACTTAGCTATTGAATATTCCTCAGTGACTCTCCTTTGCCATAGGAAACATTTCATAGCAGATGAGTGAATTTGGCATCTGTACCTACCCTACCACCTCTACTCCCTTTCCAGCCTCATCTCCCATTGCTCTTCTACCCTCAGCTGGTGTTAAAAATGTATAGGTGTATTTACAATATCTAAATGCTCCATACATTTTCATGACTCACTTCCCAAGTGAAGTCCAATCATAAGTTAACACCCATAATCAGCATATGCTCCCAGACCATCTATGAAATGTTCTCTACCCTTTTGAATTTTAATTCATACAATTCTTGGTCCTTCTACAGCTGTCTGAGACTTTTAAAAATATAACTTTTAAAATATATCTGGCTTTTTCTGATTGTTGAAGCTGCTATAACCTACTACATGATTTCTGGTAGGAGAAAGAAGAAAAGGCATGATCTCGGAATAAAGAAAGTCTGTCCAAAGAAAAGGAAATTGATTCTTCTATACTGACAGGTACATTAAATTATCTTTATCTCATTTCAATGTGTACAGGTAAAAACTTTATCACCAACTGTGGGTTCTTGTTTTGGGGTTTAATTGTTCTAACGTCAGAAGTTCAACAAATATTTGTGAAGTGGATGTATGGATGAATAGTTATGAACAAGGTGCCACAAAAAAATCTGAAGTCCTAGTTTTGAAGTTCAGTCATTCAGTAGGCAAAGCAGGCATTACAAATATTGCAAGTTGCCTAGGAAACACCAGGGAGTCATGAAAATACATGGGAGTGAATCTTTGTTGAGGGAAAAAGAAACCAGCAAAGATTTTGGTGGTCTTACAAGACTAGATTAACAAATTGAAAGTCAGAAGCTTCAAACACATGACCAGTTTTCCACACAGAATATTTGCTGAGTTCTGGGGCTGCATGAAATTCTGGTGAATAAGTCAGAGTTTCAGAGAACAGAACAAATAGGATATCTATCTCAATCTCGATCTCTATCTTGATCTCTATCCAAATGTGTATCTCTGTCTCTAGTTATCTATGTATCATCTATACATATAGGTATGTATAGGTCTGCACATATATATCATTGTAATTTATTTAAAAAAAAGAATCAGTTGGATATTTTAAAGGAGCATTTTCTAATAATGGTTCAATCCATTTCAAAGATATCATGTCCCTAAATCTAATTGTAGCCCATAAATCTTCAAAATATTTTTTTAATTGGCAAAACTCACATGAAAAATAGATAAATCATAATCATAGGGGGAGACTTTAACACACTTAAATCAATGGCTTATAGAATGAGCAACCACAAAAACTCAAAATGTTGTAAAAAATCTGAACATAATCAACAAACTTGGATTATTTGACAAATATGGAACATTTCACCCCAAAATGACATTCTTTCCAGGTATCCATAAAATACTTACAAAATCAAGTATTTTGGGTCATTAAGCAAGTTTTAAATTTCAATGATTGAAATTATATAGAATATGTTCTCTGACCACATTGAAATACAGAAAAACATCTGTAACAAAAAGGTAATTAGAAAAATTTTAACTACCTGGAAATTAAGAAATAGATTTATAAATAATCCATGTATCAAAGAAAAAATAAAATTGAAACAAAATATTTTGAACTGAATGATAATAAAGATATGACATATCAAAACTTGTGGCATATAGCTAAAGCACTACTTAGAGGGAGGATAATTTATACCTCAAAATGGAGAAAAATGAAGAAACTCAGTGAAGGAAATCAATAATTTAAACTTCCATCGTAAGAAATGGGTAAATAGGAGTAAAGAGCCCATCAAATAAAACATAAGAAGAGTAGATAGAAATAAATAATAAAAAAGACAAATGAAATTTTTAAAAACCCACAAACATGTGATAGAGTTAGTCCCTTGAAAAGATTTATAAAATTGATAAATCCCCAGCAAAACGTATCAGGAAAACAAAATAAATTATCAATATCAAAATTAAAAAGGAGAACATTACTATGGATCCAACAGACATCAAATTTACACCAAAACATTTGGTAATTTGGATAAAATGTACAGATTCCTCAAATAAATATTACTTTTTACAACTGACAAAAGAATTAAAGAAACTCTGAATAATCTAAGATCTATTTAAACAATGAAATTGTTTATTAAAATTACAGATCAACTCTCTCATAAACATAAGTGCAAAAACTTTTATACAAAATGTCAGAAAATTGAAACTAGTGATATATATAAAAAATAACACAAATGGCCAATAGATTTTATTCTAGTTTTGGAAGGTTGATTTAACATTAGAAAAATCAACTAATGTAATTCACTACATTCACAGAAAAAAGTAGAAAAAAGCAGATCACCTCTATAGAATAAAAGAAAGCATTTGACAAAATTCAACATCTATTCATGATGAAAATTTATAGCAAACTAGAAACAGAAAAGAACTTCCTTAATTTGATAAATTATATGATATATCACATTCAATGGCGAAATGCAAATGACTTCTTCCTTGAGATCAGAAGTGCATATGGTATGACATAAAATACAAAACAAGCAAAGTTAACTTATCTGTGTTAGAATCCAGGATAGTGGTTACCCTCTGCAATAAGGAAGCAACAGGGCACTTCTAGGGTGCTGGTGATGTCTGGTTCTGGATCTGGCGTGGTTATATAGTTGTATTCACTTTTTGAAAATTTACTGATCTAGTCATTTACGTGTAATTTTCTGTATCTTAATTAGATATCAACAAAAAGTTAAAAATATTCTGATGAAAATTTTAAAATCCAACTTATATTTCAAATAGCTGGCACTCTCTTATGAGATAATAGGTTGGATTCTTCAATGCTCAGGCAGTTGTTTGCCATCATGTTGACCTAGGCTTTGCAAGGGCTGAAAGACAGACATTTTGGGGCCTGTTTAGAGAATTTGAGCTCCTTGGACAATGGAAAACCATTCAGGGTCAGAAACCATCCAGTCCTTTCATCACTTTCCCTATAGCCAAGTAAGATTTTCCAGCACCCTTTCCAGTCTTAAGATAATGCAGTTCTATTTCAGGAAATTTTCCTAGTGTATGTAGCTTCCCAGAGACTCTCCAAAGGAAAGGCCCAGTGAGTTATCATAGATCTTTTTCT